TATATATATATATATATATATATATACACTAAATAAAATAAGGAAATAATAATATTTTCAAATTGGTCTGTATTTCCGGTGTCTTTATGTAGGAGGTTAACGGTATAGAGGACCATCTTTTATTTCCAGGTGGATCATCTTAATAAGTGGTTCTCCTAATTGTCAATCATTCTGGTGATATGTTTACATAAGGCCTTCCTACATGTTCATCCCGTTAGCTATATTTTTCTGCGCACTTTCAGGCATATTTCGGTGGTGAGCTACGGTTTCAGACAGTCATTGAAGCTCACCTTTCTCACAGCCGTTCTTTGAAAATGGCCAAGGGTTGTAAGAGAAAAAGTGTCTACAAAGTGTATGAGAAGAAAAGAAAGGCCTCAAAAGAGGCAGATATAACCCAGAATGCTTTGCACAGGGAGCTCTACTCGCAAAGCATTATGGGATTTGCTGTCACAGCTGCCCGCTGTCGCCATAGGCTGTCGCAACCCGACAGTGGCAACTAATAAGAAAAATGGCGCACGTGACCAAACAGAGCAAAAAGCAGTGATCATCTATCTGAACGGTCAGTTAACTGATTTCACTATAAAGTTCACTATATAGTCCCCGCTCTATAGTGATTGAGGGATTTAGGGGTTAGGGTGACATTCCTTTTTTGGAGCTGGTACAGGGTTGTGCATGTGCATTTTTTTTTTAAGTGTAGAGGGTGGGTCTTTTCAAAAATTTATAAAATTCCTCTAGTATACCTTTAATCCTGTGCCTAAATCAGCTGTTTGAGAGATTTCTATTGACTTTCTGTCTGCTTTTCCTTTTTTAAATATTATTTTCCAAAGCAACTGATAAAATATTTCCTCACCTGAGGGACGGAGAGCAAAGCACTCATTGCCCACGCTATCATCAGCATGATCCTATTCCTCTTCGGAGCCATGCTTGTCAACAGAGGGTTGAGGATCGCCGACTGTCTGTCCAGGCTTATCACCACGGTGACAAAAGCACACGAGTACATGGCCTGCAGCTTGAGGAACATCAGAAACCTACACGCCAGGTCTCCAGCAAGCCACTGGACAGTGATGTTCCACACAGCATCCACCGGCATCACAATAAATGTAACCAAGAGATCCGCTGCTGTCAAGTTGACGATGAGAACGCGTACGTGTGATTTGCGTCTCTGGCCGCTGGCTGCCCAGAGAACAGCCAGATTGCAGAGAGTAGATATGCCACACAGGGTGAAGGTAATGATCACTCTGACTTTTGCTGCTGTGGAAAAAGTAGGCAGCTGTGGGGTCCTGTCCACTGCTGTCCAGTTGCAGTGAGAAGCCAGCAGGTCACTGCTGGAATTGAGGTCAGATCCTGAACTTTGCTGATGCATTACGCCCGGAGGAGGAAAGCAGAAAGAGACGTTCATTTTGCGACTCTCAGCATGGAGTCAGCATTTCGTTTGGAAACAAAGAGGCTTGTTTTGCCGAAGGGAGAGAAAGCAAACATATACACACATCATATTCATGAAGTTAAAGCCAAAGATTTATCTGCATTGATTTGCATTTCAAGACTAGAAATTAGATAAGCTGTGTGAGAAACAGAGGCTGCCAGGGATGGAGCAGTCTGCTGAGGAGGACCCACCTTTGATGCTCGGCGATGTGGAAAAACACTTGGTGCTAACAAATTGCATTAGAAGGAGATCTGAAGTATTGAACTTTCAGCACCTCCTGTAGCAACACCTACAAACTAATCAGGATAAGTGGGCAGCACAGCACTTTTATAAGGAAATTTGTCTCAACAGATTTAACAAAAGGTTGCTGCTTATATTTTTTATCACAAAAACTGGGAACAGCTACAAATGTACTGGCCCCTCAGCTCCAATCCCTACCAGTCCCTGCCCTCACCTCAAAAAGGATTAAAGGCTCAGTATAAATAATGAGGAATCATTCTTGTCTTTCTTTTGTTAGGTTTATTGGAGTATGATTCTCTTTAAATATTGTTTAGCCAAACAATGTCCAGTTGATTTTTCTATAAACAACTGAAAAAATAACCTTAGAGCATTCTAAGTGAGAGCAAACCTTTAATATTCAGATATATCTCGCCTTGAATGGGAAAAAAACACAATGTTTTACTGCTTTTTGTATTTGTTTGTTTTGTTTTTCATTGTTTTTTAGTAGAATCTAAATAAAATAACTGTTAAATGTACATTGGCTTGTAATTCCCACTAGGCTTGACTACATATTTAAAAATAGTGGTACTTTTTTCATGCTGGTATATGGCTCACTGCAACAATCTATCAGGAGCAACATCCACTGAGAAGGGACACTTGGTTTATATTGGTGTGCTGAAAATGGACTTAATGTAACCTACAACTAGCAGGTTTTAAACACTAAAAATATTAGCATCAAGGCTAAATAAGGCTGAGCTGATTTAGAGTTCTTAATTTAGCCTAAATAAATAGATTTATCAGGTTTTTAAAGGAAGTTGGAATGTCTTTAAACATCCCTTAATCAAAATTTTGATCAAATTTGAGCTAAACATGGATTTATTTGAAAAGATAAAATTTTTAATAAATACAGAATTATGTCTAAGAAAAGCAATGAATTCTCACCACATAGATACATCCCTATAATTATTAGGCTTAATCAGCTTTAAGCTGCACAAAACACTATCATTTATACACATTTTTATGGATTTAGAATCATGTCAAATTATTCTAATTTACTTCTTGGTCTGAAACCAACGATTAAAAAGCAAAAACATTAACAGGAAAAAAATATGATCCTAAATGTACACATGAAATAATAAGAAATACTAATGTCACCAAACTCACATGGGTCCTGAAGAGCTGGGAATGTTTCCAAACTGCAGATTGAAA